TAAATAGGACTATCTATAGATATATTGTGTAATGATAATAAATCTGTATGGCGTATATTCTTTGTCAAATAAATGAATAATATCGTGTAGGGTTGTGGTCATCCGAAGAAAAGAAAATTTTAATATAGATACACGTATATGCGATACATGTTAAAACGAAGATTTTATGAAAATTGACAACGACAGAAATAATATAATAATGAAAAATACCTACTGTAAATACGGTAAGAAGTATAGAGAAATACAGAAATCCTATTTCATTAAATTATCATTGTAATCGGTTTATTTCGGGAACATGTATATTTTATTTCAATGTATAATGTACTTACTTTCAGTGCTACTTACTACTTTTTTTATTTTTTTTATTATACTGTTCTTACGATGTAGAATATTTCTGTTTGTTTTTCAGTTTTAAATTATATTTTTTCAAATCTAAGCTCAAAAACGAACACTTTTCTATTCGTAAAGACTTAAGTTAAAATATACACAACGAATGTGTTATTTAAATTTTAATTTCGTCGAGTGACTTAGTTTTAGTCATCTCTTTGTTTTTACATTTTTTTAGTTTATTGTCCAGGAATACTGTGTTAACGTATTTTATACAGTTTCGATTTAATAAGAAATCACAAAGTATTTAATTTTAACTTGTTTCGCTGCAACGCATTCATGCAACGAGATTGCCTATTTGGAGCGCCGGCTATTATCACTGTATTTTGAATGGTGGTTGCATAAAATCAACTGTGCGTGTTAGAAAAAATCATGAATTGTAAATATCCAGTTAGCTCTTTTTGAATATTTGTCATATTTATTTCATACGTCTGAATGATTTTATTAGATTATTGCTGAATATTATACCAATCTCTACACTCATATGTTTGATTTAACGGTGCGTGTTTAAAAATGTAACAACGATTACGAATGAAACACATAACTCTTATAATATTGTATTCGCTTGAATGTAAAACAAAAAAAAAAAAAAAATTGAATTTTTATACATTAGATGATTTTTTATATACAGAACGTCCTTTTTTATGCTCAAATTATGCATTTTTCACATTCTGATTTATGGAAAACGTATCTGTATAAGATTATATAATAATACTTAAATTATTTTGTATATATTAAGGAGTATATGGCAGGATAATATGAACTTTTTTTTTTTCAAATAAGTGTACTATTATTGTTCACACATATAATTATTCAACAATTTTTTTTTAGAATTTTTCTAATAGCAAGGTTAACATTTTAAGTTATACTTTAAGAATTATTTAAATTTAAAATTGCGCACAAAAAATGGTTAAATATTAAAAAAAAATATTTACAAAATTATTTTGTCATTACAGTTTTAAAATAAAGCAGATAATAAATAGAACATAACTAAGCACATGAGTTTATAGACACTATGTGAATGGACAAATTAATATCGATAAATACTACTAATAGGCAATATCAATCGCTGTATAATTCCTTAAACCATAAATATCAATATTTTGATACCGTTTCACACTCTTTCCGTAATTTGAAATCTGAATAATTCCGAGAGCACCGATCCAAACGTTCACAATGGAAATTCAACTGTTCACTATAGATCAACGAAATAATTATTGGTGTGAAAATTGGAAAAACAAATGTCTACTGATTACTCCCAACGAATCGTAAAATGTACGGGTAAAAAAATATATTATTTTCAGTGCACGTTACTGTACTCGTACTCGTTTTCCATAAATCAGTATTTGAAACAATGCATAATCTGTTAGCAGAAAAAAGTGGTGAGCACGCGTAAGAATCACACGATACTCTTATATATTTTATTCAATATTGGATGTGCGAGTGTATATATCTGTTTATGCGGATGCGCTCGTGCACACTCGTATAAATATATAATACGCATCGACACACTACGGACCATATAAGACGGAGCTCCATTTTATGCAATACCGTATTGCAGAATAAACAGTTCATATTGGCTTTTCGTGTTCCTCGGAGTATACGCGATTCGGAGATAGACACGGCGCGTTGAAATGCAATGCGTCGTAGCTGGGTACACATATAATATTGTTTCCAATTTTTCCTGGCATTTCCTCTCGCGTTGAATAATCGACTGAATATCCTACTTCGAAAGTACTCCGATATTTCACGTACTGAACTAATTGTGTTAAACTCGTACAGCACTTACTACGGCCCTCCATCCTCTCACCTTATTTTTCCGCTCTTCTACCCGAAAGCTGTTTAAAATTAAAATGTGCGACTACGCAGTTCCCGGTATTAGAATATTGGGTATCACGTAATTGAAACTCACGTCATCTAAACATCCCATCTGCACGCAACGAGCCATCCAATATAATATCGTCGAAACGAAATTCCTTAGTGTATCATCGACTGTGAAGATTTTAAACGCACTACAAACAACGCGAATTCCGGGATATGAATAACGGGGTCTGTATAAGAAACAAACATGTAGCGTTGTTTTGCAGGTGAATTCGTTTGGGCGTTCTAATATATTTCTTTCCCTCTGGATTAAAGCGGAACGATGGAAGTGAAACAGTTCTCGTTAATAAAATGCACTGTTAATTTATTTTTCATGAAACGCCATATGACATCCAATTTATCCGTAGCTTAAGAAATTTCGATATTTCCGTATACTTGGTGCTTCGACCGAACATTAGTTATTTTTTGGTATATATGTGCCATCATAATTGATTTTCGAATGTATTGAATTGCAATTCATTTGTCCGATAGGATAAAAACTAAAAACCCTTTTGTAGTTGTTTTTTTTCAGTTAGAATAATTTTGTACGTATATTTGTTATGTATGGTATAAAACGCATGGTCCTAAAAATTTCCGATTTCTTTTTTTAATAATCGATTTATGTACATACATATATATATATATATATATTGATATATTAATAGAAGAAAAAAAATATCTTTTCATCAAAAGTATAAATATTTGAGAACCAACTGAAGGTACTGTTATAGTTTTTATTACATTGCGTATCAAAACATTTTTAATTGGCACCACAATTCTCCGCCAGTACTATTGAGTATTTGAGATCAAACAAAATTTCATATTGATGGAATAACCTTATGATAATATTACTTAAATTCGTACAAAAGTACTTCAGATAAATAATATTTGATTCGCATTGTACATTATTTCTAATTGTATCATATAGGTACGTGTTATATTTCAAATGAACGTATCATTTGTATGTTATGTATCCGGTAAAAGTATTGATTCACGAAAGATTATTATTATTATTATTATTATTATTAACAAACCCTCGTAAAGCAAATTATTTTAAAACTATATCAGAAATTATAAAATATTTATTGAGTGGAAATGAATTTAAAATAAATATTATAATATTAATGCTGAAATAGTAAACAGTATGTTTTTTTTATTATTTAAATTGCTAAAATAATAGTATAATAATAGTACAATTTTTTACTATAGTTTTGCATATTTTCTGGAGTATTATATTTTTATTGGAATTTAATATTTTATTAAAGTAAATTCGTTATAATATATTTTTGTTTGTGTCTCCTTAAATAAGACAACAAATAGATAACAGAGTTGGATCCAAAATTAAGAAAATTATAAATAGTTGGAAGCTAAGTAACATTCTCAAAATGTTTTCTATAAAAAATATTCTATATGCTACATATTGAAAAATCACTCTAAATTAGATCTATGTACGAGTAAATTAGAAAAATTAAGGTACGATCATTGTACAAAAAAATATTATATACCAACAATATGTTGATTATTCGGGATTTACATATCTACTTATTTTAACGATCTAAATAATAATTTTAAAAATCATCATCTATGAGTACATACAAATCCATAAAATTTTTATTTAGTTAAACTGTAAGACCTGTGCAATTATTTTATCTTTTGCTATTAATTTATATTTTTGTAAATTTATTTAGTTTATGGACTATATGGAAATAATGTTATACCTTCAACAAAAATGTTGAATATATAAAGTAAATAGACTAGTTGTTTACGAAGTACTAGTATTAATGTATTTTTCTTAAAAATGGTTATTTAAAATTGAAATATATAAAGCATTATAATTTATTTGGTCAGACAAAAATTCAACAAAAAGAAATATACACTTCCCCATTTAGATTTATTCGACATTTCTATTCCTAATTCAATATTATTTTCCATTAAGTATAACCATACTTTGTGCATTTCTGTCTGTAAAATTAATGTTTTCAAGCTTAAATCAGCTCTTTATCTTATTTCGTACCCATTTAATACAATACAGAAATAAAATTATAAGAACAAGATTTGTGACTTTGTGAACTGCCTCTGCGCAGGAAGTGGTTTGTAAACAGTCATATTTATATATTATTTACCACAAAAACAAATCCATTTTGTCAGCAAAGCTTTAAACCCGAGAAATGTTCAGAATTAAAATAATTGATCGCAATGATCTGTATTATTTTGAACTGAGAAATAATTGCAAGCAAAGTTGGAAATTATGGTACTAATTAATTCATTAACATGAACTGCGTGCAAAGTTTCTAATCTATTTAAAACATTAACAGTAGTAGCGTAGAAAAAAAATAACGGAGATTGAATTATATTCGTAGAATTTCGTCGACTATGAAGTTTTACCGCCAAACTTTGTACAACAATTAAGCGTTCCCTGAAATAATATTAAGTATTTATTTTTATCAGCGTGTAGTGGAAATTCGCTTACAACTGTGACTCACAAAGCGATAAAAAAAAAAAATATACCGTCCGGCGATCACACACATTCGACACGCAAAGGCAATGACAGCCGTGGAATATTTAACGTAATCGATCGTTAAATTCCTCTTTATTAGCAACATCCTTACAAAATTGTTGTCGCGTCGGGAAGCAAATTTTTTTGGTCGAAGAAAACGTCCGTTTCGCACGAGAAGGCGCGGTTTTCTCGGGGCACCAAAATGGGGGGACGGGGATGAGCGCGCAAGGGCTATAAAACGTTTTCGACGACTTACCCAAGACTATGGCTAGGGTCTTAGTGGCTTTCCGCTCCTTCCGCGCCGACGACTTCTCCCGCTTCTTCCGGCTCGCCTTGTTCACCTTGTATATGGTGAACCGGCTGCTGCCCTCGGCCGCCGTCTTGTACTCCTTTTTCGAACACCTCGAGCCGTCCTCGTCAGACCCGTTGCGCAGCATCGATGACAACGACCGTTTCACCAGGGACTGCGTTGACCGGTTCGCTCGGTCGACGGTTGGCTGCTGCGCCATGGTCGCCGTCACCGTCGACACCGCGGTCGCTGCCGCTGCCGCCGCCGTCGTCGTGGTGGCCGTCGACGAGGAGTCTTTGCGTTTCGTCGGCACCTGATAATCCAGGAAAACAGCAACGTTCAGACGATATATTTATCGGCGAAAAATGCATTTCGCTTGGTTCGTGACGGGGTAGAAGCTGTTTTTTTTTTCACGTTCGAAACGGAATACAACGTTGTTCGCGACGACGTACACTGTACGCTAACAGGAAAAAAACGGTTGACGGTCGTTCGTATTATTTTTTTTATCAACGCGCCGGATTCGAAAAATTCTGATTTAATCCGGAAACAAGTTGAAAAGAGTTACCGGAAAACTCTAAACCATAGATAATGTTTATCTACTTTAAAAAAAAAAAAAAAAAAAAACTTTTTACTACGAATTTACGCGGAACGTTTCGTCCCGTATGATGTAGTTATTTTACCTAAAATTCGTAGAGAAATGATTGTTTTACTCGTAGACCTTCGAACACGATTGCGATCTCATGTACGCGTATCGTCCACCGACCACGGAACGTCACACCAGTAGTGTACTTTTGAGTGTCACGTTTTATTTTAACGTTTCGTGATACGAGAATCCCTATCGAGATAACCTTTGAGGCCACAAACCACGTTCCGGATGACATTTCATTAACTGATTTGTTCATAACATAATTATACAATCGCCTGTGCTTACGAACGGGAAGACAATAGCATCGCTGACCGTCGAAGGTGAGTCGTGAACATAAAGGTTACTAACTCGCTGGTCTAAACGGTTTCTATTAATTTCAAATGATTCGATTCGTACGATTTTTTCCATTTTTCAATAACAAAAATCCAGAGTTGTTCTCTACATGACACGTGTTTCAGACGAAGAGTTTTGGGACGGAAGATGAACTTAAACACTAGCAGTCGTCCGTTATTGCATCTACTACTCATGTTGGCCAGTGGCGGATTTAACGGTCATTTAGTCGGCGAATGCCGACGGGACCCCTTCCTAAATTATTTACTGAAGCCCAAAAAAATTATAGTTAATTTTTTTTAAATTTTACCAAAAAAAAAAAAATTATAATACAAACTGTAATATCGTTTACAAGCAGCTTTGTAAAACGGGGCTAAGAATGTTAGTAATACATTTATTACGAGGCCCCTCTTTAGGATTTGCCGACTTCATTTGAACCTTTAAATCCGCCACTGATGTTGGCATATCATAATTTTAGTAAACAAATGTATTTACGTGAAAAGTGAATTTTAAGATTTGTGCCGTTCGATGCGTGACAGAAGAAATTGAAAGTATGAGCTCAAAATATATTACCACAGCACCAACGTGGAAGAAAAATATTATTTGAATATATTTTTTCATATAGATATTCGTTTCACGTACTTTTAGTATAAATATTCTATACACTTGGAGCGATTGTCGATTTTTCTACAAGAATGTTCGGCTATAAGTCGTAGAGTCAATAGTTTTCGGTGAACCCACGATAATTATTATAACAAAGTTACTTTAGTGATATTTTACTAAATATCATGTAAGTATTTTATATGATATTGATTTAAGGTTAAAATTTTGATAAAAAATGCTAATAATAAAAATATTAATAAATATATTGTGCTAAGTAAAATTAGTCTTTTCATTTAATTACTTTTGTTTCTATTTAATGTTTAATTATTATTTTAATACCATGTTAAAATTTGAGCTCAGTTTTTGTCTAACAATAGTTTACGTAGTAATTGGTTAAATATGTTTGTGCACAACACATATTTCTATAATATATACAATAAGAAATAACTTTTACTTAATTTTACCTTATCACCGATCTTATCACTAATGGAGCTGACTGTTTGATTAGGATTTAAGACCCTTGTAACAAGATCCATATCCTGCGGTCTGGAACCCAAGTTTCCGTTTGGGTCGGCAGTAAGGTTTGATGGTGTAGCCAACGTTGCCACCATCCTGTAACATAATAATTTAACTTGAAACTGAAACTTTAAATGGCAAGGGTTAAATTTATGAGTGTTATTATTTTGAAAAGTTGAGATATTCCAAAATAAAATACATTAACAAAGTATTGTACAACGAAGTGATTTTGTTTAACTTGTTTAAGTGTCTGACTTAGATTTTGCCGGTGAATTATTTACCGGGTAATAATTTACAGTTATTATTATTTCCATTATTTTTTTTATGATTTTTATTATAATTATTATAGTATGATTATAATTGTAATGATATTATGCGTGCGTATTATTATTCGTCGATATTATATTATTGTCAGACGTAATTTTTTACCTTAAATACAACGGTATACTTCGTACCGTGTATCCTAAATTATAACAATTGCGATAACGCAGAACAGTATTAAATTTACGTGGCGATATAAAAAATTATTTTCATGTGAAAACTTAATAAAGCTCGTTACTGTCCCATGAAATATTTTTTAAATTTTCTCACCGTATACTCGCACAGCAGTTCGTTCTGCATAATTAGGTGATTGCTTTGTTAAAACCCTTGTATATAATATGTACATGGTAATATTTCAAATGTAAACACTGAAGTGGAATATAACCGTATTGGCATAGAGTTATAAGTGAAATTATGGATTTATATTTGATCGGGGTAAAAGCTTAACCATCAAAAAAAATGTAAATTTATTCTAAGATCAATTATTTATTATTTTATTTTGCATATGACGTATCGGTTTATTGTAAAATAGAAAAATGCTAATTAATTACTATAAGTTAGACAATGATAAATAAATGAATAAGAAATTATAACAACAAATAGGTACTAGATAAATTTAAAACTTGAAATTATAACTACATAACTATTTTTGAAATGTGACAAAACTCTATTCTTAATTCAATGGTTACTAAGATCAGGAACTTGATTGCTTATTATAGTGGTATTTCTAGAATTTTTAGCCAATTACTTGTCTTTGTTTTAGCTTCATGTAATTTTGATATTCCTAGTTCAAATTTAGTGATTGGATATTCTTCCACGATATACTTGGTATTTTGTTTGCTTCTTCAAGAGGAGATAGCTCCATTCTTCATTAATGTAGTAGGCTTTTACTTCTACCTAGTTCGGTTCCTATTCTATTTAAGATTGACCATAACTCTCACGGAAGATCAAAACCCTTTGATCTGATACTTCAAGTTGGTTTAGCAAGCATACAATCAATCCACTAGTATCGGCATGTTTCGTCAAAAGAACTGGTGTCGTAGCGTTACGCATTGACGTTTAATCAATTCAACTCGAGTGCATTTTCACGTAGATATTAACACATTGTATCAACTTATCGCTTCGTCGTCGTTAGCTTTGATTTTGCCCACGCATATACTCAATAAGCCATCGTTCGCCATACAAGACGGTAACAACATTGCCGATTTTGGTGGATCGATCTTGGGTCTAAGAAGCACGTCGAATACTGTTTTGGAATTGTGTATGAATAGTTGAAAAAAATTAGGTACACTTTTAGATTATCCACGGAATTTTTTATATTTGTATTTTTGTACCTGTTCGCATTCGAATCACGTAGTCACGCGTGCCGCACGTAGTGAGAAATCATGTGTGATCATCCAGGCAAAGCGTGGAAGCTCGTTATAGTAATAATAACAATTGTTATCGTAAATGCCAGTTGGCCACCATTATACGATGTTATGGCGAAATGACCGATTAAACGGTAGGCGAAGTCTCATCAAAATGTTTCGCCCTAACAGTGTTTCTTGACGACTTTCTGTAAACTCGTCGACCGTTCATAGTTTAATATCCACCGCCGCTCCATTAAGTATTATATATATGTGGACGCTTTAGTTTCCACGTGCTGACCCATTTATTTAAACGGTTTGCGCACAGTTAGGACTGTGGTCTGGGTTCAAAGCAAAGTTGTAAGTTTAAGTTTAACCGACTGGTCTCCGAATATCCGAAATTTCTCCATCGAAATAACGATGTATTAATAGATTCACAGCAATTACAATAATAGTAAAACGAACATTTGTTATAATAATAATAATAATAATAAAAATAATAATCATTATTATTATTATTATAATATTCATAATAATAAAAATGACTAAAACAATACTTATGACCATTCAAGTTGTAATATAAAAATAATCTTTTAAAATAATATAATACAAATTCTTCAGAACTAAACGCAATACGCAAAATAATATTATGTAACATATAATACACAATATACATATTTATTCATTTTTTTTTGGTTCAAGTTTGTAGTTTTATAATGCACGTGGATTTAAAGAGATTACTTTTGGTAAATAAAACATGAAGATTTGCGTTTATTTGTGTATAAATTCTACACCATCATAGTCAGTAGTCATCCGTGCACTTTTAATATTTTTCAAACTATAATTTTCAAAAATTGTTTTAATTGTAATAACTTTTTTCTTATCAAAACAAATAAACAAATAAACAAGCACGTTATTGAAATAGTATTTGGTAATTTGAAACATTTATTTCATCACTGTTTCAATGAAATATTTTGGTATCTAACGTAAAATGTCAATTAACTTATATTGAAGATAATTATTATTGGTAATTGTCTATAATTTTATTTTAGAAGATAAAACAATCAATATTGAACTTAATAGAAACTTTGTTACAATACTTACTTTAAAATTTTAAAATGTATTACTGTTGTCCTAGTTTCATACTTAATTCAGAAGGGTTACGTTATAATTCATGAAATTAATATTTAATACCAAATGAGTAGTGAAAACCCTTTTAGCTTTTTTAACCCGAAAATAAATAAATAAATAAATAAATAAATATATATATATATATATATATATATAACTATAATACGAATACCTTTTCGGAAATAGTGCTGTTATGTATTTTAACAAAAAAAAAAAAAAAAATTAAATATGTTTAGCTAAATTAAATTTAAAACTTATCTTTATAACAATTACGAAAACCATTTATTATTCGTTATTACTTTTTAATACTATCATTATAATATATGCATATTCAGCTTAAATTTATTATCAGTAATTTATTTAACATCATAATTAAAATTTTATTAATTAATTAAGCTTATTTTTATATTAATTTTTATAACGCTATGGTAAATTATTTAATCATTTGTTTTCAACATTAAAAATAAACTTTTTTTTTCTTTGATATTTTGAGCACTAATAAGTTAACTGCATTATTCACACTATAGTTGAATTGCAAATAAAATATTTGTTAAACCGTAATAGCGTTTTAAATTTTAAATCTTAACTTCCATTAGACCGTTATTTGAATTAAAAATATCTCTAATATTTGCACATCGGCTTTTTGCACACAAGAATGAACTATTTTGTATCGAGTATAATGAAAGAGGCTACGAATATTTGCGTTAAAACGTGAAATAAAGAAAATGTTCTCGGTGATTCTGAAATAAATATTAAGCAACGCATGTGTTACTATCATAGGTAAAATTTATTAATAGGAACACTGTTACATATACATTGTTTACGATCTGTTTTGTTCATAATTACTTATTTTATCTTTCATTTTTTCAACATTCAATACACCAGGAGTGCAAGATGATTTTATAATATTAGAAATTATATTGTATTGATGAAATTATAGTTTAATTCATATAATATAATTTTCGTTTTGAGGTAGTTTTAGTAAAATATTCAATGATGTTGATATTCCAATGCGGACATTTAACATTCATTCCAAAATTCTAATTTTTTATTGTTGCCCAAGCTTATTGAAATAATTTTTGAATTTTTCTTACAACACTAATTTTAGCAATTAAAACAAATAAAGGTCGAAATGTTCGTATATTTTTTTGAAATTCCACGTGGACACAATTTTGTTTATCACTCACCAAGCTGCTGTTCATTCGATTGGATGGTAAAACAAGATATATTACCTGTGTACCTAAGTCGTTTGAAATTCAAACATTATCAAAACACAATTCAAACAGCCAACGTATTACAAACACACCAATGATGTGTAATAATTTTAGTCAATTGAAACGATTGTATAATGTAATCATACATGCGCGGACGAAACGAATAATAAACGGAGGCATCCATTGTAAGGCTCAAAACATTTTATTATTTTAAAAGAGTGTTGGTTGATCCAACCAATTATGATGTTGTATTAAAGGTGTTTCAGATGGTTAAATCTTTTAATCCCGATACGATTAGATGTAATAATTATTTCAAATTGGATTCGTGTGGGCGCGCAAGGACGCGCCTCGAATGAAATCCGTTCTAAGAATTGCAACGGCGGCGTAAGAATCGTACGCAGTACACTTACGCGGTTTCTTCCATGACCGTGGACAGGATAAAGTCTGTAGATTTGTCGTTGTGTATGATGTGGCAGTCATCCGAGCCGGGCGATCCGCCCTCTTCTTCGTCGTCCTGTTAACACAAAAAAGCCATTAAAAACAACCCCGTGAAAGCATACCATATGTATGTATATATATATTTATACCGCATTATCGTATATGTGTTATTATTATGATAGCTGCAGAGGGCAGCGTGTTACCCTTTGAGTCGAGTTTGTTGTACGTACCGGAGTATATATACAAGCGCGTACGAGTAGTATTTTTATAATAATATGCTAAAATTATATCTGATGTCGAGGCAATTTTTTCTATCAAAATGTTAGCGGTGAAAGTTTATTCATACGGATTATGCAGGCGAAATAAGTCAGACGGCAGTCTTCGTAATGTCGAAGAACAAAAAATAACGCGTAAAAAAAAAAAATTATCTTCAGGTATCGTGATATATACACCCGCACTAATGTTTAATCCCCGTAAGGATGGTGAAAACTTTTAGAGTGAACACAAATAATATGGCTTACAAGTTTGATACATTTTATATATTATATTTGTGTTTGTGAATCAAAAGAGAATTTATATATATAATATATATTATCATGATTGAGTTGAACTTGAAAATCAAATTGACGAGAAATGTTTGAAACTAAATAATTAAATCGAGCGAACTAGTGTATAGTAGTTCTGTGTTTCGTTAAATAGCGCAGTTAATTTCAACTAAACATTTATTTTCGTAACTCCCGTCACTATTTTAAGAAGTCACTTGTACCACATGTATAAGACATCATTTTTTTTATTATTTTTTTTTTTTTTTTTAATTTCGATCACATTACCAATATATTTATAAATGGACAGTTAGTATACAATAAAATAATTATAATAAAAATAATATTTAAATTATAATTTAAAGTACCGAAAATATATTATTAAGTTTATCTCGGGAGGAAAAAGTAACAAACTTTTTAATACTTTAAGATACACTTGATAATCAAAATGAATTTTTTTTTTTTTTAATTTAAAACGAACAAGCACTTATCAATACCGTTAAATGATTTATGAAATATGAATATATATTCATTACGCATCTTGTTATTATTGTCATAAACGGTATACACGCGGATTATTTATTTTTGGTGAACGTTGATAGATTTGTTTCATAATAGCTGATTTGTTTAATAAAATTAACATTAAAATCCGATCATAAATATATGAACCATCATCAGTAAAAAAAAAATACAAATTTCGTTTTAAATTATGTAAGCTTTATCATGCATGGTTATGAAGTCTATTCATTTTTTATAGAAACTTCTTTAAATAATTTATTTTTAATATTCAAAAAAATATAGTTCGTTAAATATTATAATATAATGGTATCATGTTCATTATATTATGTTTACCTGGTAAAATAATACTATATTCTATATAATTTTGCAATATTTAAAATAAATGACGATTGAAAAATTATTCATAATGCATTATAATTCACTTTCTTATACAGTAAATCATAATTAATCGAAAGTATAAGTCCACTAACGTGGGCAATTCGCAACGTCGTATAAAAAAGAATATATATATATAAATTTACATTGAAATATTATTTTAAAATTCATTACATTACACAGTCGGCCGAAAAAATGTAAATTGCTTAATTGTTCATCGTAAATGAAAAACAAAGATACGTAAAACAATTTTAATTTATTACACAGCTTGATATTTAAATATTTAAATAGTAATTGTTTAGTAGCACAAAATGTCAAAATATTTTATCCACTATTGAGAAACGTACACAATATTGATGCATCAACAATTTTAAAACTTACACATTTTCATTAAAAGTAAAAAATATTTTATTGAAACAATCAAAACCGAAATGTAATATTTTAACGACGAATGTCTCAAACTTCTTATCGGAAAGCAACGTTATCGCGGGAAAATAATTTTCGATACACGCTTAATAGTACCTAGTTTTACACGTTGCAGTGCGAATCAAAAACGTTTAGATGGGAAAAGTGAATAATCTTATCTTCTATTTTAAACGTTTTTGAACTTCAATAGACTTTCAATATTTTAACAGAATCAGTAAGACGGTTGATTACAATTATCATTTCTTATCGAGTATGAATAATTCATTTCAAGACTATAATATGTCCTACGTAACCATATATACGGTTATTTTTAACGGGATCAAAGTTTAGACGTCGAGACCGAAAATAAATTAATTCAGAAAGTAATTATGGCGAGTGGAAAGTTTCATGGTAAAAGTTTCTCTCGGAACACACAACAATATCGATTTGTCGTTTAAAAGTAACTGAATCAAAGATAAAACAACTTCAATAACTGATTCAATTACAGATACTGTATTTAACTGGTGGCGTGCACCGATGGCACTTAAAAACTGAAAAAAAAATCATCATTAGCACATGCGATTGTTCGCGGAAAGACTAATCACAATTGCGCCGCACCCGTCAAGTATTATAACGACGTTCGGTTCTTGGTGGTATGAAATCTGCAGCACAGGCACATTAATATGCGCATGCAACCATGGGCGTCACTAAAGTCCAAATGATAGGGTAGCAAAGTTTATTTTTAGAAAGTTAAAAAATAAGTTTTTAAAGATTTAACATGATAACTGGCTTAATTAACTAGCTAAACTTCTTCATAAATATTGGTACAACGTATATTGTCCATATTGGACTTATCACGAAATATAATTATTTTGAATACAATCACAATTATAAATGATTTATGTTCGTTCACGATTGAATAATTAACTTCGAATATATTTTTAAAATCTATAACTTTTTTTTGGGCTAGCAAAAAGATACCCTTGCTACCCCACAACAATTTCTGGGGTAGCAAAGATGGATATGGGTTAGGTATCGTGGTATTGCAACGTGACGTATTCAGCGTAAGGTAGTCATCAGTGCGTACATTTTGACATGCATGTTTTACTACCTGACTGCCACTTCCGGTGTTCGTTGGCCCTTCGTCGACGATGGAAGAGCTCCCAGGCGCTAATGAGGCCGTGGCCAGCAACGTGGTCTCGGCCAGTCTCCTCCTCGTTTGCGCCACGTTCTCGATGATAATGCCCGGTTTCATGTCCCTGGCCAGTTGCGGTCGTCTCGCCGCTTTCGCTTTTCTCGCTCTGAGGTTCAGCGCCTGCAACATGCACGATGATTATCAGAGTTGTTGAAAAACGAAAAACTGTGTACGTACACGATAAATATACAAAATAAAAGGACATTGACGTACACACGACGTGCTACAAGTTATTTCTAAAGTTTTTTGATAACGTCAACGGGAAAAAAATACGTATGCAACGCGTATATGTGTATAGTACACATATATGTATGACGTGTATGCGTGTATGCGCGCGCTATAGTTTCAATGTTAAATAAAAAAGTCAATTTCATTACCTATCCGATTTGTATTTGAAGTTTACCACTTTGATCGGCTTTCAAAAATTCTATGTACACAAAAATCAAATACAATTCCAGTTCTCCCCGTTCAGGGATATGACTTGTTTTATTTATGAAAACGTGTTTCTAGTAAAATCTTCTTTGAAAGTAAAATACTAGTCAAAATATCAAACACCTGTATTTGTCGACTTTCCGTGGTTGTTTGCTATTTACATTCGGGCAACAAATTCAAGTTATGATTAGTTGTACGAAAAAAAAAAATAAATAAATAAAATTCTGTTTCAAAATGTTTACTATTCGATCCATACGGTACAAAATGAGTTGTACGATTTTTAGGATTTGATTATTTCCCAACTCGTTTATGCAGAACAACACAATGATTGTAAAATCGTTACTTTTTAATTATTATTTTATACAATAAAATATATTGTACGTCACCACTACGTACGAATTATTATAAAACGCGTACACAAAAGTCATTATGAATTATACAAAACTTGATTGTGTGCTTCTAAATAGTGTTGTTGTGAATTTTGTAAATATTTACGACTACATAAATTAAACAGAACTAAAGGAAATTGTCGAAAACTATACGTAAGCATGAAAATGTCAAATTAAACGTAAAATATGGGTGTTTTCTGGAAATTGCCTATCTAGTGCTATAAACGTGTAATAAAATCTATAGGTACATTTATTTTATATCATGCTGCAATTGTTTTATTGGACCAATAATATGTAGCGAATAATAATATTATAGGTTTGCAAATGTTTGTTTTCTTCACATGGGAATAAAATTTTAATTTTTTAAACAACACTGTTGGTCACAGAACCGCGTGGAATTTCCAAAATAATTAAAATAATTTTTGACTCAACTGATAAATTTAAAACAATAATACAATTTAAATATTTTATACGTACGATTATCTGAAACATTTTTACTTTTAATTTGAACGAAAAAATTATTGTAGAGTTGAAAGTTTTTTTTTTTCGATTTTTGTTTTTATCTCGATACTTGTTTTGTTGAAATAAATTACAAATAGAATACTAACAAAATAATAATAACATTAAAAATGTACCGAGAGTGTGTATAATAAATATTTTGTAGTTTCAGTGGTTACACTTAAATATTGACCACATGTGATTGTGCATAGCAAACAAGACGATTCAGATATAAGACCAGAGATCAAATCGGTCAAATCGATTTGGACGCGAATTGAGAGCAGAATGGGACGGAAATAAATCGGCACTCTTAGACCAGAGAAATGCATATAGAAGGATTATTCGCGAAAAAAAGAAAGGCGTGATATAGGTAGAGGTCGATCGAAAACAGTACGGAAATGTTGCGTAGGATAACGCGAGCGCTATTGCGAGGTGCAGAGCGTGAAGTCTAGTTCAATGTGAGTGCGGGTAGCGTGCCATAGGTCTTCTGCTCTGCAGGGTTTACGAGGAACGCGAAAGAAGGACGGAAGGTTTTTAAATATAATAATAAAAATTGTAATAATAATAATAATAATAACCGTAATGATAACGATATTTTATATTTTATAAATTTCCGGTCTCATACCACAATACGTTCTGCCCTCTCACACAACTCCTAGGTAATTCCGCGATATCCGCAATAACACATGTTATTATTATTATTATTATTATTACTATCATATTGAAATAATAGTATACGGACAACGTATTACGGATACTCGGGGATTTCCCAGGGATATAACTGGGGCGATTTCGTTGTATTTTATTACCACGTACGTATTTTATTTTCTCACCGCAGAATTTTATCGGCAAAAAAAAAAAAAAAAGGAATAAAAATAATACACGCACAATAATTTTTATAAAACGTGTTATGAATGCATTGCACTATCGTCCGCTGTGCCGCGTTCATTTCATTTTTCTCTTGATTAGTTTGTTAATGTGCACGAATAATGTTTTCGAAATATTATTTATAGCCTACGTCGTTGTAATATTGCCTTTGAAATACGCAGGTGAGGTTTAATTGGTATCGTCGGATGGATTCCAGTGAGCCCACGAATGAGTAAAACAATCTAGGTCGAGTCGGCTGGTACGATAATGAATTCGTTACGGTTAATGCGACTGTTACTCAATAGAAAAAACGAACGACTCATCTACAGGTTTCTCGATACGCGTTTTTTAAGTCACCCGTCGAATATTAAATGTTTGTTGAACCGAATCAAAACACATTATCTACACAGACGATAAGTTTTATTAACGCAGACCGTGTGATATGGTATGTATTATTCGGATAGTGAAATGTATACATATTATTATGTCACGCGATCGTATCAATTTCAGTGAGATTTTGGGATACGAACTTTTTTTTTTTTTTTTATTCGCTTGTATCGCAAGACAAAAACATAATAGCGTTGCGGTGTACTTCGGTCTAATATGTTGTGAAACACACTATTTTATAGCTGATAGTGATTATTATATCTTTCAAGAAATAACATTTAATTAGTGAATGATATCAATATGTTTTGAATTTCTAACGCATGAAAACAGTTCGTAACGAAGTTCGGAGTTATTATTATCATTATGTTAATAAATTAATGGTACAAGTATGGTTATATGAGACGGTATTCATAAAATATACTGGTGCCATTACATGAACATTATAAGAGTTAAATGAAATAGTTGTATGATATTTGTACCCGTTATATGTGAATCCAATATTATTTTCCGGTATAAACAGTAGTTTAAGTGAACAAAACAAAAAGTTATTTCATCGAAGTTACCAAAACTTACAGCAATTGTAGGTTCTTTATAATAAATTACGTTGAAAATTGTAAATAATACGTTGGCGCAATTTTATTTCTATCAATAATATTTTTTTGAGTTATTTCCAGTAATTTCAAGATAAATTTACAATCAAGTATTATCACATGAGCATATTTATTTATTATTTTAATTATTATTTAAGTAGATTACAAGGTGATACCGGTATACCTACCCAACGTAATTTCCTGTCCGTCAAACGTTAAGAATTGTAAATTCTCAAAGACCTCATAAAAATATGTTCTTCTTGTTCGTTTGAGCAAATTTCAATTTTTAGATCACGTTAGAGATAGTTTAAAATATGTTAACAGATAAGTGCTAATACAGTCACATTCATAAAGTGAACTGCAGCTTAGGTTAATTTTTCAGGTTTTTACGTTCACGATTTCCATGTCCTTTTTTTTATAGAGCTTCTACTTGGTAGCGTTAGAACACCTTTCCCTAATACTCGGCATTCTGTAAAAACTGTATAAACGGGATAAACCTTATATTCTATAGATTGTATACGTTTACAGTTATGCGTAATATGTACTCGCGAATAGTTATCGGATTATTTAATTATTTGGATCAAATTTGTGAAATTTTGACTCTTCTTGCGAAATACCACACGTACGTATAGTTGGGGGGGAAATATTTTTATTAAAAAATAACAGCTATTCGATCGACATTTTTCATTTGGTGATATTACAAAAACATGAGAGTCGATCACGGTAATATTCTACGGATTTTATTTTATTTTATTTTTTTTTATTAAATATTGACATCAAGATTTTCGTCGAAAATGCTGCTATACAGCATGCGTTCCATGTAATATTATATATATACTATAAGAAATATCCACCGGAGGGATTTCCACGTGAACCAATTTTGTGCTCATAAATATACTACACATTGATGTTCCGGTGAAGTCGATATTTTTTTGAAACGAAAACAATATTTACCGTAAACATAATGTAAGTAACATTATATAGATGCATGAGCGCGTGTAATATGCTTCGGATTCGCGAAAACTTTTAAACGGAACGTATGAATACTATACGTTTTATCACATCGATAAAATTACGAGCGAAATAAATCACGACCGGCGCGTGTACATGGGGTGGTTTTAAAGGAATCAACCTACCCCTACGCTTTCCACCCCGATTGTAAGAAAACGAAAATCTATATTTCAGTACCCACACATCTTAAAAATCAGTAGTTTTTGTCCGTGTATTACATGCAATATATTAAGTACAAGTATAGATGAGCAAATCAAATTTTCCGTCGATATTTGGTGTGTTTGTTAACAAATTTTGTCGTCACAGTCCTTTGCTGGAAGTTTCTTTTTTTTTTTGTACACGTCTACTTCGTCATACTAATAATAATAATAATAATAATAATAATAATAATAATAATGGTAACAGTCGTTCGAGTTCCGTACACTTGTTCATCGGCCGAAACAATAAGGCTCGCATTTACAACTTTGGCCGTAATACATTTTGCAATGGTCATCGTGATTGTTATTAAAACTATCATTATAGTCGCCATGACGCGACGAACACCACGAATACTATAGCATAATTGTTAGGTATTATACGATCGTAGATCTAGATCGTAAGTCGACTTAATATAATTTTATACATACATGGCATAATAATAATAATAATATAATAATATAATTAATATAATAATATTAATAATAATTAATAATATAATATAATATAATTTAATAATAATAATAATAATATAATTAAATATAATATTATATAATATAATAATAATAAAATAATATAATATCATAATAAAATAATAATAATATAATATAATTTTATACATCCACGGCACTTCTGGTGCCGTATTAGTTTTTCCTAAGAGCACGTGCAACACTGAGTGTCGTAAGACGATTTTTTAGAGCAAAAAATACCTTTTTTACCATTTGAAAATTGAATGTGATAATTTTATTTT